TTCTTCTTCTTCTTCTTCTTCTTCTTCTTCTTCTTCTTCTTCTTCTTGCCTCTCACTAAGGGACTCAAAGAATAGCATATTTGAGTACAATTAATTTTTTCCTAAGATGGATGGTAATTAATAAAGCACGTATGTGTTAAATAAAAACATATGCAATCTAGAATGATTTGCAATTTGGTGAGTGCTTTTTAATATTGGATTTTTCAGAACATGGAAGGAGAATTCATTGGACTTGTTTCTCATCCAGTGTTGTCTTTGTCGTTGTTGTCTTCCTCCTCTTCCCTCTCCTCCTCCTCACCTTCTGCATCCCTTCTCTCTTCTCTCTCTCTCTCTTTCTTCTCCAAAAGAATGACTGTGCGCAGAAGAGAAATGTATAACAAATTTCCAAGAAAGGTTCCTCAGCTTATCTACAAGAAATAGATTAAGGAAGGCACTTGGTATTGGGAGTCAGGGAACCAAGTAATATTAATCTCATATTATCCCTGAGGAGCTTCTAAACAGGATGGAACTAAAATCTAGGGCAAATTTTGTGTAATATATACTGTGGCAGGATCCAGGTGGCTGTTCTCAGGTATAAAATAACACTGTTCCCAATCCCATAAGATTTATATTTCCAGCTTGTTTGTCTCCTTTTTCCTCTCCTCCCCTCCCCAACTCCATACAGTGGGATGAGGTGAGTGTCTTGGATGACAGGAAGCATCTGATTCGAACCTTTGAGGTATGCAATGTTGCTGAGCCGGGACAGAATAATTGGCTGCGCACTCATTTCATAGAGCGTCGTGGAGCCCACAGAGTTCACATACGCCTCCGCTTTTCTGTCCGTGACTGTGCCAGCATGAGGACTGTGGCTTCTTCTTGCAAAGAGACTTTTACCCTTTACTATCATGAATCAGAGGCTGACCTAGCCACTGCTGAGCATCCGGAGTGGCATGAGGGCCCCTGGACCAAAGTGGATACAATTGCTGCCGATGAGAGCTTCTCTCAGGTGGATAGTTCTGGGAAGGTGGTGAAGATGAACGTCAAGGTGCGAAGCTTTGGGCCATTGACAAAGAGGGGTTTCTACTTGGCCTTCCAAGACTCTGGTGCCTGCATGTCTCTGGTGGCTGTCCAAGTTTTCTTCTACAAATGTCCTGCAGTGGTGAAGGGTTTTGCCTCTTTTCCAGAGACATTTGCTGGAGGCGAAAGGACTTCTTTGGTGGAGGCACCAGGAACCTGTGTGGCTGATGCTGAAGAAGCCAGCAGTACTGGCTCCTCTGGAGTGAAGCTGCATTGCAACGGGGAAGGCGAATGGATGGTGGCGATCGGAAGATGTGCCTGTCGGGCTGGCTATGAGCCTATGGACAGCGAGAGAATCTGCAAAGGTAAGAAACAGATGCTCCAGGGAGTATCCCTGGCACTTTTCAACTCAACCTGTTTGGAATAAACACCTGCAAGTATCTTTGATAGTAGTTTTCCAAACAGTATGCAAGAGTCAGTGAGTCCTGTGAAAAACAAATCTCCTGTGAATATAAAATACATAGACCAGAGGCTTCCTGTTACACTTTCGTGTGATTTGCTTGTATAATCTTTCCTCATCTTTATATTAAGTCAGTTTGGGGGTGACTCAAGTCACACTTGGTGTAATGCTGTGGCTTTCTTCAAAAGAGATTATGAATTTGATTCAGCTTTGTTGGTTATGCTCTAAAAGTTGCCAGCCAAGTTTTACTTTCAGTAGCCTGCTTCTCCCTATTCTTTATGCAAATAGAGATAACCACTTTTTCCTCTGTCCAACAACTTAGGTGTGCCACAAAAAAAGGAGGCTTGCTAGTAAATAAACAACATCTAGCCCTAATCCAAGTTTTGTGGGTGCCCTCTGGGTGTTCCAAGCCACCGGAACTTTTCAGATTTGATCCTAGTTTGTAAAAGTACCAATCTGAGTGATCGTCCTGATTTTAACATAATGTTTCCCCTTTTCTCTTCCTAATAAAAATGGATCAGGCAACTGGATTGTTTTCCAAATCGACAGCAACAAAGTCTTTGCTTAGCTGTTTTTTTTCCCCACGCAGATCCAAAAGTAAACAGCAGCTGTCAAAATCATACTTGTCATAATGGAGCCCAAAATTGCCTTCCTTCATTACAGTAGAAACAACTACCGTGTTTCTCATATAATAAGGCCGGGTCTTATTTTTTTTTGAGCCCCGAAAAAATGGCTAGGGCGTCTTTTCGGGAATGACTTAATTCCCCCCCCCTTGCATCTTTGGGTGGGTGGGTGGCGATGGCTTGGATGTTGATCTCAGCGTTGGTGGGGCACTTCGTATCGGGGTCAACGCAGGCAGCACCATATCCGGGTGTGCAACAAAAGTACTTCCTAACGGCAAGCCCCCCCACCATTCCCCCCCCCCATTTCGCATGTTTTAATATAGTCCTTAATTTGGGGGGAGGGGCTTAATTTCATTTCATGCCTATAAAACATGCTGGGATTTCCTATTGGGGGAGGCTGTATTGTTGGAGAAACAGGGTACCTGCTCTCCTAATAGCTTTCATTTTCAGCTTCAAGTTATGAACCTAGAAGGGTTCCCAAACCATTGTGCTTATTGCATGTATTCCATAATAGTTTACAAAGTAATCCTAATTTCCAAAACAATATTCCACATTGTGAAATTTCACTGTACGTATTTACTGCATGCTTTTCCTTCAAGAAATCATTGTCCTTTAAACTGGACGCCTTGTCTATATTGGGATTCCAAACTGCTATACCCCAATTTAATAGTGGGAACTGATATTCTAGATTCTCTCCCAGGTTAATTTGCTCAGAGTTTGCACTGCAACAGCTATCAACATTAGATAAAGTGGCAATTGCACCTTAAAGTTTAATGAAAAGTCTAGGAACCTAGCATAGTTAATGGAGCTTCGTGCTGGCTGCCAGTTGCAAGTATTTCTGCTCCTCTGAACTGAGCTGTAGTAGAATCTGGAATTCCTTCTTAAAATGGTGTTTAATCCCAGCACCAGCTCTTCCTTTTATATTGACTGCAATTCATCTTGAACATGACTGATAATTGTGCAGAATCTAAATTTGTAGTTAAAGCCAGTGGGGAAAGTCCTTTCTCCAGAAGGGAGAAATTAAAAGAAGCCTACAATTGTCCATTCTGTTCCCAGGCAAGAGTATAATACATACGCAATCTATTACTATGCGTGATGAAAAGTAATATAGCAGCCTGATGAAGCAGCAGGGACCCTTTTCACAGTCTGCTTTAGAAACGAATATTCACTGTGGGGGCTGGGATGAAAACTACAAAATTACTGCGGAGGGGACTATACGGTAATTCTTTAGTATATGCATTATCTGAATTGAGGAAAAGCCACGTTAGTATTTTAGAAACATTCTTATAAAGCCTACTTATTTAAAAAAAAATAGTGAAGAAAAATTCAGTGAAATATAGATATTAGTTGCAATCTTATTCTGAATTTTAATTATATCAAGAATGCCCCAGATCATGCTTAGCTTGCCTTTTATCTGGTGGTTTCTTGTTTGAGGTGTGAATCACTTCCATTTTTTTGTTTCTATCTTTCTGGAAACATTAAGAATATTCTTTAGAGAAGTAGGCTTTCCTTATTGAGCATTTGAGTTAAATAGTTTCTAGCTAAAATATAAAAAACATTACAATTATTTGCAAATACGCTCCTTCCTGAGAGCTGATATTAAGAAATTATATAGTTAATTACTTTTAATTATTACACTTATAAATATTAATTATAAGCATAATTATTGTAGTTATTACACAACTCAGGGCAGTTGAGAGGGTACTGTAACTGTTATAACACCTTTTCCTATACAGGTAATCCTCGACTTACAACAGTTCATTTAGTGACTCTTCAAAATTTCAATGGCACTGGAAAAAGTGACTTATAACCATTTCCACACTTATGTCCATTGTAGCATCCCCATGGTCATGTGATCAAAATTCAGGTGCTTGGCAACTGACTCACATTTATGACCGTTGCAATGTCCTGTGGTCATGTGATCACGCTTTGCAACCTTCTGACAAGAAAAGAGAATTGGGAAAGCCAGATTCACTTAACAACTGTGTTGCTAATTTAACAATTACAGCGACTCACTTAGTAACTGTGGCAAGAAAGATCGTAAAACGGGGCAAAAGTCTCTTAACAAATGGCTCACTTAACAACAACAACATTTGGGTTCATTTGTGGTCGTAAGTCGAGGACTACCTGTACAATTAAATAGTTGCTTGTATTTGATTCCCAAAAGATCAACTCTTTCAGCTGTGTCTTTTTCCAGGAAAAGTTATGACTACTCTGAGGGGTCAAAATCAAATTTTGTAGTACCTTTGAACGCTAATAATACTTTTGCATAAAAATGACTGAGTCGATTGCTTCAATGATTCTTGTTATATTTAGACCACGTTGAAATATTCTATGTGCTGTTTAACTTTATAGCTATTGCAGACCCCAACAGTACAAATCCAAGAAGGCTTTCATGAAAGCCATTTAAAAAAAATAATAATATCAATCTGTCACCACAAATGAAGGCATTAATGAGAAAGAATTGGCTTTTTAATTGTCTTCTGGGATCTCCTTAGAGACATGCATGTTTTAATCTCTCATTTTCTTTTAAAATTTTCAAGTACCTCCAGTGGTTTTCATCGCACTGAAAAATCAGATTGGCGGTGGATCCTTGGTTAACTGGGCTGCCTGTGCACCAAATCCAGGAAATAGAAAGGAGGAGCAGCCATCATGACTATTACACCAGGAGGGATTTGTGCAATTTTCAGGAAAAACTTCCTTCCTTCCCCTTTTACTATTGTTAGACCCGAAAATTGAGAATGAGAATAGTGATTTCCAGATTAGTCACAGGGATTATCTTTGATATTGAAGAATTGCACAAAGAGCTGTGTAAGTTCAATCAACCTTGGCAATGTGATTCAATTAGAAAAGGGAAATAAAATCAATGGCCCCAGAAAGAACGCAAAGGTAGAACCATCCCACGTTTCACAATAGAACTGTGACAGAATTGCTTTTTCCAGCCATAATAATCACCTGAAATTTTGCAGCCCACATCTGGTAGCCCTCTGAAAGAGGAGATAATTATTTTGCTCATTTAATTGTACTTAACAGGCTGCCTGTACCATTTTTTTGCATCCTCTATTAAAACATTCTCAGAAGGGAGGTGGGTTTGGTTGGTAATGGAAATGTTCCAAGAAAATGGATGATTCAGCTTAGTATAATTATAATAACATATATCATTTAATGATCTTACTTTGTAGTGGATGACTGTTGAAAAGCAGAAGCCTTACTTTCTTGATTGACTGCATTAATGTAAATATTTGACCAGTGTTTGCTTAGTGGGGAGGAGCAAAATCCTTTCTGTTTATAAGAACTTTGCTTGCCTCCTTTCAAGAAATCTTGTGTGTTGAAAATCCAAGATCTCCCTCCTAAATATACAAACTTTTATGACTTGAGTTTTATTTGCATTATTATATAAGTACAATGATCCTTAGTAGTTCAGTGCACAATTCCGTAAAAGAAAGTTTCTTTCCATGTATTGGGATCTGTTTTGACTTATCTATGGACAAAATGTGTTCCTACAGCCAAATGTTACCATTTTCTCTAGTAGTAGTACCTAAGCTCAATGCCAAAATGTATTGAAAATTATTGGCAGTCGCTCCAGACACGTTTCTAGTCTAGCTATTAATTACTGTTTGTTTCATTCTTTTTTAAACTGGGAGTGTCCTCTCCCTACTCATCTCTTCTTGACCAATATGATCATTAGTGGATGCTCAGGTCCAAGTGCCAAGTCCTGTGATGTAAAAAATGTGGTTGAATAAGAGTGTGTTCATGGTGAATGCTCTGAATAAGCAGTAATTTTCCACTGTGAAAATGACATATTTAGTATTGCAGGTGAATGTTCCAGACAGTGGGCTAAAACATCTTACTATCAGATTTAAAACAAACAACTACCAACTGAATGCAAGATTGTTTTATGTATGTGTGGATCATGATCTTCAGTATGAGGCATGGTAATTAAGATCTTAATGGCGTTATTTAAGAGTAGAATCCTTGCTCCTGAACGGGACGTATGTTAGGCAATAAGAGGATAAGCAGCATATAGGAGAGTTTATAACAGAGCTTTGGATTTGCGTTGCCAAAATTGTTCTGTGGATTACTGTCCCAAACACAATTCTACATGCAGGAATTTGCACAAATTATAAGAGAGGGTTTGCACATTCTTTGTGGTTCCTCCTATTCTCTGGAACTCCCTTCCCAGCAAAGTTCAGTGCCTTTTGGATTCAACCCAAAACATGTTTGTTTCAGCAAGTCCTTAATCTCCCTATGGGACTTGAATATGATCGAGCCTTCATTGTTT